TTTTTTTTTTTCTGACATTGCTCCGAGGATGAGTCCTAAAACAGATGCTCCGAGGATGAGTGGAACGAAGACAACAAAAACCCTAAACTTTTCGAAGGATTCATCCTCGGAGCCCGAGGATGCCCCGAGGAGTGTCTAACGATGCCTTTACACTAAGTTAACTCCATTTATGGTTCCACGTGCATGCACTTGAGGAAACCCTTGAACAAGCTGCCCTTGAAACCAAAACCCAGGGCTTGCTGACCAATCCTGGGCCAGAACACGGGCTGGAGAGGGAAAAACAAAAAACAAAAACAGAAAGCTCCACTCCAAGTGCTCTGCAGGTTCCTAAGTGCGATTCTGCCCCAGTCGCACTTGAGTTTCAAGGATGCGCACTTGAGAACAGGGAATTGAAAACAGTACGGTCGGGGGGTCATTAGGGAGGGGTGGAACCAAGAATCAGGGAGGGGTGGAACCAAGAATTTCCCTTCAACCCTTGAGTTCAAGTGGTGTAGAACAACGCCCTTAAGCACTTACAGGGCCACACTAAAGGACAACCGCACACACACGCACACGTGTACACATCCACGCATGCATACACACACACACACACACACACACACACACACACACACACACACGGACACACACACACACGCCTGTGCTGCTCGCACGCTCGCGCGTACACACAGACACACGCTTGCGCGTACACACGGACACACATACCCACGTGCACGCGCACACACACACATACACACACACACACACACACACACGCCGCGCACACACACACATACACACACACACACACACACACACACACACACACACACACACACACGCCTGCGCTGCTCACACACTTGCACGTACACACAGATACACATACCCCCATGCACGCGCGCACACACACACACACATGCACACACAGAGACACACAACCATAGACCATTGCATTCGGACCTGATGGAGAGAATGGAGAGGATGGTTAAGGGGTGCCGCTGCTCAAAAACGTGTCGAGAGTTCCATACAAAAGCATGAAACTCCAACTGTGGATTGGAAAACGGCATCAGATACAGGCAGCGACCCTAGCCTGTGGAAGCACCAGGGCCTCTTTTTCATCTCGCAGGAACCTGGAAAACACTGAACTGAACCCATAATGGGGGATGCTCCTACCAACCCCAGTAGTAGCATGTTGTCATGGGCTCGTGGGTCACAGCCCACGTTTCCAAATAGGCAAAAAAAACACTTGTTGGCAGGTCCATCCCCGCCGTAGTGCGCAAAGGCAGAAATAACATTGGGTGTTATGAAGAGCTAGAATTTCTGGGCTTGAAGGGTAACAGGCCTTTTCCCGTTCTGTGCTTTCTCCAGCCTTACGGGCTGTAAGAGAAACCGGCTGATGCTGCCGGGATAACTCCGAGTGGAAAAAAAAAAAAAAACATTGGGAGTCTTTTTTTTTTCTTTTTTTAAAAATTAAATTGCAGCTTATATTATAAAAGTAAATGAATGAGGCCGGGAATCCCTCAACATCTCAACCCGGTAGTGAAGCTTGTGCTGGAAACCGGGTCCAGCGTCCCCTGGTCTGCAACTACAAAGAAAGTGAGCAACTGGAGCAAAACTTTTAGGACTCAGAATAGGGGGAGCAAAACAGCCAAGAACTACTGAGGAATTCATATCCCCCATCTCCTGCTAATCTCTCTGGGAGCCTTACCCAGCTTGGCTTCAAGATCTTACAGAAAACAGACGAAGTACGGATCTGTAAAGTCAAGGAAGCCTGAACCGCCAAGACGGGTTTCCCACCACGCACCCTTGGATCTTCATGGGCGTCGTTTCAGACATCAGGCCTGATTGAAATATGCACTTTTGTCATTTTAGGCAGCCTTTTTTTTTTTTTTTTTTTTTTTTCACGCATGGCCTAGACATCTCGGCCATGACCCTCCCCGGCTGTAGTCTAGACATCTTGGCCGTGGCCTAGACATCCTGGCAGTGGCCCAGCCAGGCCGTGGCCTAGACATCTCGGCCATGGCCCAGCCTGGCTGTAGCTAGACATCTTGGCCGAAGCCTCCAGGGGAAAAAAAAAAAAAAAGCCGCCCAAGGGCCTCGTTCCAAGACAATCTGCTAGCAGACAAGGTGGTGGCGCATATAGCAGGTTGGGAACACCATACCCGCTTATCCCTCGTGGGGAAAGCCTTTTCTTTACTTTGGTTTCCGCTGTCCATACACGCCATGGGAGGTGCAGCCTACAGGAAGATAAAGCGAGCATCAACGAGGTATCTGTGGAAGTCGAATGCTGATGAGGAGCAGGGGTTCCTCTCAAAGGTGGCATGGGAAGTAGTTGCAACCCCAAGGAAGAAGGGTGGTCTAGGAATTCTAGACCCCCTTCAGCAGAATACAGCCTTATTGGCAAAATGGCCTGTTCAAGGAATGATGGTCACATAAACAAAGATTTGGATGCTGTTGGCAGAGTATATACTAGGAACAAAATGGGAACTGCAAGATCATTCAAGAGTTTGGATCTGTATGCTGCTACCCTCATTTAGCAGTCACCGACCCAACTCCAGAACATGGAGGAATGTCCTTGGGGCTTGGAACAAAGTTCGCCCATCAGAGGGTCTGCCTCCTACCTCGAAACAGGAGATTCTGAACCAGGTATTATTTGATAATCCGGATTTGACAGGCGGACGGGCATTGCTTTACGGCCACGGACACACGAGGCAACTTTGGATTGAGATGGATAAAGAAAGGGATCCTGCAAGTGAAGGATATTTGGAATGAGGACAGGGGCTGCTTCCTGGAGCCTGCCCAGATGAGATGTAGTCTTCCACGACGTCGTAATGTGCATAGACACTATTCAGAGCTCATTGCGGCCATTCCCACCGGGTGGGTGAACCTGGCCCGACCAGAAGTGGAACACTTAGCGGGCACCTGGCTCCGAGAGGCCAATACCTCTGGAAGAATAGTGCAGATCCTGGACCCTGACCTTTCTGCAGGCATCAGGGTGGAGCGATGGAGACTTCCCGGAGCAGCTACCAGGGGAAAGTTAGTGTTGGAAGACCAGGACTGCAGGATCAGTGATTCGGAAGGAATGGTGGAAACAAGAGTATGATGTCAAAGAAATAAGAATGGAAAGACCACAGCGACGCTGATTCGAGATGCGAATCAGCTTAGGGTGGAACCCCTGCTAAGCGGGTGGAAGATTCAGGACAATGGGGAGAACTTCACCCCGTTGATACATTACCGGCCGAAAGTGGGAGTGCAGCTGTTGCAGGGG